CGACTTTCGCGACAATTACAGATATGTGTTATGAATTGAACTGGAAAGTTGATTTGCTGATGCCATATGTTTTAAAATGTGTTACAAATCCATACCCAGTGTTTTTCCAACTAGAGAATCCAATTTCAACAAATTTTACAAACAAACTCATCTTCAGAACAAAAAGCATCAGGCAAACAAATTTCCCGTTAAAATTTATTGCTTCTGATCAAATCTCAGCAGTTCCTCAACGCTCACTTATGAGAACAATATAACCAAAATCGACTGTGTTACTCCACTCACGCAGTTTTTTCTTATTTACTTGAATGTTTATTTAAAATAGAAAATAATTACGCCCAATTGCCTTAACTCCTCCTTTAAAAAAAAGTATTGAATCAGTGGAAACTATTCATTGCCGTTTATAATCTTATGGACAATAATTATCCCTCTCCTGTTCCTTTCCTATGCTTTTTTACGCCGCTCATTTATATTTAGCGTTTGTTATTAAATAAAAGGGATATAATTATAAATTACATGTGACGACTAAATTTACCTTGTAGTTACCCAAGTTGTAATTCAAAACAATTGCATTCGAATTACAAGGGATTCCTTGACAGAAACTGACTCAACGGACAGTTAGTAATTAATAAATTTATTAATAAAAAAAGGATAAGACCCCTCCCCAAACCAGTTTATATCTGACCACTCATTCAACCTGACCATGCTTGTAAATATAATCTAAAACAGATGCAGTAGATCCGGTTTACTTGGCACTGAAGCAAGCCACTGGTATCTACGGCCGACGAGGTTCATCAACACACAATTTTGATTCCGCTACACCGTCACCTCGCAATTTGTCAGAAGCTTCTTTACAAGATTCTGGATACGCCGAAGCAAGTTGTAACCGTGGTGCTATGATTAGCTCAACACCTCAGTTGGACCAGTCAGGTATTTTGACTTTTTTGAAAGTCCTTATACATATAAGTCAACTGAGAGAAACTAATAACCAAACTGCTGAATTGACTGCAAGTCCCGTTTTTGATTTTCTAGTCCTTGGTGCTTGAAGTTGCATTTTAAGAAGGTTCGATTTAAAATGAATATTTTCGCCTTCTTAAAGTCATGAGGTTCATGTTTGTTTGCACCCAACTTTTGGCTACAGTTATCAAGAAAAATAGCGAATGGATAGCAAAAACCGATTTTTTCCAAAATGTGTGTCAAACTGACTAATGAAGAAGTGTTGCGAAGGTAACGATATCTTAAGACAACGCAGAGAGAAGGGGTCAGGTCGAGGAGGCGGAAGAAAGATGGAAATACAATTTGTTGGCGAAATAGATGAAAGCAAATCTATGGGGCCTTTTCGAAACATTTTCCATTGTTAGAACTCCACCTGATCAGTTCGAGGACGCATGAAATGACAAATTTCTGAGCAAAAAAGTACTTGAAATCATAGATTTTACAAAAGTTTTTACTTTTACGAGCCTATTGAATCCTTTCCTCAAACACATCATCCCGGATATAGTTTTTTCTACTTCTTAGGAATAAATTTCAATTCTCAACACTCGTACGAATATTAGCTTTGCTTAACTTAGAAGCAGCTGAAAGTACTAGAATGAGAATTCAAATGTTTCTAGGGTGAAAAACCCTCGGCTTAATTAAAATTCGTCCGAAAGTAACAAAATCTTGCCGTATGAGCGGACCACTGCGGCTAACGACCTACTTCTTTCGTGTTACACAGCATTGACATACTCCGAAATATGCAGTATATCCTGACAACTTATTTCTGATTAATCTTTTTTTCTAATATGAATCTCCAGAACACTTCAAAAACCTTATTACGGTCGGAGTCTAAATTTATTCGCAGGTACAAATGGAGGGAAGCGCCGTCCGCCTAAGCTGCAGAAACAAATGAAATCGCTGTCGCTGGACTGTGCTGACTCACCGCCGTCCGTTGCAAGTGGTGTTTATTCAAGTAAGCCTAATAAATCTGAAGGAATTTTCTTCAACATTTATTATACTTAAATAATTAGTGCAAATGAAATTCTATAATATTTACCGTGTGCGGATACTTCCATTATTTTTCTCTTAAGATAAGAGCTGTCGAGAAAGCTAATCTGTTGAATTCGTTTTTCAGCGAGATAGATTTATTCGGGATGTAATGTTGTTCTTGCACAATATTACTAGTTAACAACAAGAAAAGGTATAAAAAGTATATTACCCAATAAATTAGTAGACAGTGATGAGTTATACAATAAGCAAGTAATATGATCAACTAACAAATTCCTTGTCGTTGCCTTCGATAATAATTTGACTGTCAGCTAGTTGATAGGTCGTTTAGTTGGGAATATATTACGGGAAATGTGTTTAGCGAATAGAAAGAATATCGTAGTTTGCCGTCCAGTGGTGGCAGATATGGGAAAATGTCGTTGTCTGCGGTTCAATCATGGAAAATAAGCGAAGAGGATGTATCGTCTGTTCGGTTGTGAAAAACCGAACTGTTCTGGATTTTTCCTTATATGTATGTAAGGATTAGAGAGGAGTTTTGTAAGCTCCATCCGAGTTATCATGGAGGTATGGCTGCCCTTTGGTATTGTCTATTGTGTAGGTACAATGATATCTTTGTATTATGCAGTCTTTCTGTTAGCTTATATCCTCTTCATCGCTTTATTACTTGCAAGATTTCATCATCCTATCTGTTAGATAATGTAGAAATTTTGTTTGAACATACCTTTAATTTCGGTAATCCGACAGGAGTACCCTTATTTAAAGGCGAAAATCTTGGAAACCATAAATGATTGCTTTCACATGAAATTAGCAAGAAATGAAGGAACTTTTGTTCAACGAAATCACCGAATATGTGACATTTTTGCGACGTTGATTAGGAAAATATTTCTATTGAAGATGAGAATGGATATAAAAGAAATTTAGATTCCATGAAAATTTGAACATTTCATTTTCATTGTCCTTTAGTAAGCTAGCAATGAAAATGACGAAGTTGGGAAAGTTTGACAAAGAAAGATTATATTGGGAGATGATCGTGTAGGTATGTTGCTGTTACAGATATCCCATAAATATGATATAATATCTGCGGCACAGAGCCATTTCAGTCAGATGCTCAATGTATACTTTTAGTACCTCTAACCGTTGTCGGGAACTATGGTTAGCACCTATCCAGAGTAAAGGAACAGAATGTTTGCATGTTACATCTTTATTTGTACAAACAGGAATTCACTTTGTATTGTTTATTCCTGCAAACCTTACGATGGAGAGAGTAGTTTGGCAATTTTCAATCATTTTTAGTTTTTACTTACTTTCCTGCTCTTTCTTCCTTGCAGCATTAAAGTTAACTTCATGCCGGTCGGTTATTTGCAATCTTTCAAAATACTTCCTTGTTTTCGATTAAATTTGTCATTTGGGAAACGGAAAAATGTATCAATTACTTTCCCGTTTCACCTTTTGACACAAAATTATCTTTGATTTTCATTTTGTTTGACAAGCAGCAAATGAACACTTGTCTTAGTTCTTTTCTTCCTTTGGCTTATTATCCATATTTTACGACAATTATGTTTAGGGAGCAAATTAACACCGAAACTTATACATTGCAACAATAGCTCCGGGGACATATCAGAATACGAGCGAAGTCGATCGTCGTCAGGACCATCTCCTAGCTTAACTCCACGTCGCATTAGCTCTTCAGATGGTACATTTATCAAATACTCTTTGCAAAATTCCGTTTTAGTCTTCAATTTCTCTTCAAAATCTACAATTTAGCTCTTTAACACTGTTTACTATTTGCAGTTCTGCAAGGTTCCCATGTAGTCATTCATGAATACGCAGCTGGACCTGACACAGCCTTATGCTTAGGCGATCGATTGAGAGTTGTTGATAACGGGGATCCTGATTGGCTGTATGGTTTCAAGGTTTTATTTTATTTCAGTGAGCATTTATGAGCTTTTTCGAGAATCTAAGGATTTTTACAATTTTTTCATGGTCTAAGGTTTTCTGATATTTTAATGATTTTCGTAACAACAGATATGATTTAGACAGGTGACCGAACAGATCGACTGATGTCATTCCCAAGTACTTGTGTTGCATTGGTGCAACCTGGTGAGCAGCCAATGTTGCTCAGGCAAAACGTCCACATACCTGAAGCCAAAATGAGGCTTTATCGTGACCAGGTAAGCTCTGAACTGCTTCAATCACTGAAGTAATAAAGGTTTTTTAATTTTTCAGTGAAATTTTACTTGTATAGCATTAACAATTTTAGGTGGTATTTGCGCAACCTGACTCAATTATGGCTGGACGAGTATTGGTACGTACAGAACGTCATGCTTTTGTTCAATGTCCTTTACAGTATCTGCTGTTATTATGATATCACAGTGCGCTACTTGAATCACTATCAGTCATTAATACTACTGTATTAATGATATAGGTCATTATTCTTATTCACTGATGTGTAGTGAACAGATGATGAGGACATAATTTATTTCATTAAGGAAAACGTCTCTGTTTATTATCAATTTCGTGTATGAAATGTGTTCGCAATATTTTTCCATGATTACATTTTTAACGCAGTTTTTTTGGCTATTCTTTTAAAAAATATGAAAAGTGATTGCCTTGAAATGAAAAAAACTGTGATGATTCTGTCCTTCAGTTAACGTGCTGATATGGATAGCCATTCTCTCTAACTATTCGAATGATTATCAATTTTGCATATTTATTACAAACTTGGACCTTTTTTTTGTCCTAAGTTGAAATTTATAATAAAGGGAAGGTTCAATCTTGTAATGTGGTGTAAATATCCAGTCTGCTTTCAAATATAATTAGATTGACGAAAGAAATCGCTAACTAGCTGTAGGTTACGTTCTTAGAATTCGAAAAAGCTAAGTTGATTGAAACCTTTCAGATTCAACCTGTTGAAAACCCTTTATATTTAATTTATATAGTTAAATTTCACTAGCCATTTATTGCTGACTGTGTGTTTCAAAATCCATAAAGTTAAGGAGAAACTGGAATTCTGATTGGATGTACTACCTAAAAATATGTCCCAATATATAACAATTTACGAGTACCGATTTTCGAGACGATTGGCTAGTTTTACAGCAGCTAAATATTTCTGTTTAGTGTGTTATAGCTGAAACTCTGAGTTCATTAAAAATCAAAAGATTTGCTTTGCATTTCTTGAACATACTCTCGTCCTTTCCTTGATATCATCTCCACTAGATGAACTTTTTAGAAGCACATTCATATGGTGTATGCAAAATAGACGGTTCTACAAACTGTATTGCATCTGACAATTCTTCAAGCCTTTCGGATGAATTCTTCATTTCAATAACGTTAGTAACACTTGCAAGAGTGTGGTTCCAGATTTCTGTAGGACGTCATCTGATTGATTCACCGCACTAAATAAATCCTGGCCTATGTACAACCGGCGATACTCTCTGGTAACCGGCGAAAAAAACAATTGCTAGTTAATATGTTTCGGGTCCGGGATAGATGAAATTTTTATTTCTGGTTTTTTAATTCCTGCTTGACTAATCCTTACATTTGCTTATTTTTGGATAAACAGCTATTTAACATATAGGTCATCGAACGATTTCCTCGTACTATAATCATTCTCATTCACCTTGGAACTCTTATACGTTTATATAAAGTTTTTGGATAGAGTAAGATTTTGGATTTTCTCTTACAGTTTGTGCAGGAAATTGTTATAGATTTGCTTAAAGCATATGGAAACCAAAAGAGGTATATTTCTTGTTAATTGGCGGAGACGAGAAATCAGTAGAAGCTTGGTTCATTAGCTGCTAATTGAGGCTGTGCTTTACAATGAAGTTTGTCAAAGGTTAGTGCAAAATTGCCTTAGGTGTTTATGTAAAAAGGAAATTTTTGAATTTTTAGAATTAAGGTATATCAGGGAACTAGAAACATATTAAATTTTATTATGTTCACTTTTACATAATTAATCGTTAGCCCTTATTGGTTATATGAAATATGTTGTTTTACATACAGTCGGGTTAACTTTTTCCTATAAGTTTTATTAAATTCGTGAGGAACATAAATGCTCCAAAACTCACTAAACTTTCATGTTTGAAGCCCTGAATACAAAAATCTGCTTCAAGACTGCTTTTCGCATTGCTGACCAGATGAATGTTTTTCTTTTTAAGTGGAAGGCCTACATGTGGTCTATACATGAAAAAACTCTGTTGCTGGAATTTGATGAGTTCAGATCGGTGTCTTTATCGACATGGTTCTGATATCCAAAGTACAGGTGGAAACTACAATAGCTTGTATTAGTATTTCCTCTTATACGTTGTGCTTCTTCGAATTTGGGGGACAGGTCAACCGTTTCCTGTATCTCTTTTCTGATGCATAAAATCCAATAAATTATATAGCATTCTTAGCAAAGATTTTCATGAAAATGATCATAACACTTTTTATTTATTTCATTATTGGGTTGTTATGTTTCTCACTGAAAATTTTTAAAAGACGAAAGACTTCAGGCACCAGTATCTCAAAATGCCAGCATGAAACAGAAGTAAAAGTAATACTTTTGCTCCACCTCGACTTACAGGTTACAAATCCCCCTTATTCATTTGTTATTTCCAATGAAAGTTGTACTGACTCTTGATTTGCAACTTTTCATATTTTATATTGAAATTTTAAAGTGAATCGAATTCGTGTTATAAGATATCAGTGATCGCTACTTGTTATTGCTTAAAATATTTTAATATTACCACCTTTAAATGGAGTTAAATGCAGGAGTTTTGATCCAACTTTCGTATATCTACACGTAATCAAATTTATCACTTTATAAGTAGGTTTCCACAAGAAAAGCAAGGCAATAGTCCTTTTAGAATTATTCCATTATAATTTCTTTCTTCATATGGTAGGTTTACGGTAAATGGTGCATGTTCACTATTTTTAAATGAAGTATTTGTAACATTTTTTTTATAAGATGATAAAATTTTATTCGAAGAAATTTAAGCTTATTTTGACCTTTATGCATGCAATGCACTACATACTTCTTGGATCGTAGACAGCTCAATGAAGTTTTAAACGTTGTAGGAATAATCGTCAGTGATATAGTCTTATCTGAATCCAAAATCCAGTTTACGAGGAACTGATTATTCTTACTGATCTCATTGACTAATTTTATGAGGTATTACATGTTGTCGATTGTTCAAGGTAGAAACTATTGGTTTTCACATAAGAAAACTACTTGAAGCTTCTGTGGTGTGCAAAAGCAAGAATCTTCCTTAAAAAAAGGGAGATGAAAATATTTATCTGTGCATTTATCTATGCAAAATATTTACCTCTGTCTTTTGCGATAACTTTATGCACTTGCCGAGATCAAGATGCAATACAAAGTAGATCCAAAGACAAAAATTTAGCACATTCTTTTATTTTTTTCTTTTTTGATAGAAAGGAACTATTCAGCATTAATGGGTTCTGCGCATATCACCTTCCTTTCCAAGTTACTGTTTTAGAGTTTCGGTGCAAGTTTTTTAGTTCAACTCCTGTTTAAGCAGGGCATTAGTTTTACTACTTTAGTTAATGCTAAAGAGAAACAAACGTCAACAAGCACTCTGATTTTTCAGGACTTGAAAAGTTCAAATCCACTGCGTTATGAACATAGCAGAATATCTTTCATCTAGTCATCCGGATGATCTGCGATATCGTTTGAGCATTGCGTATGCGGTGTGTGTTTTAGAGCAACAAAATCAGGTACAATTACACATTTAATGCCAAACTATTTATTATTTGATATCAAACTGGTATCTCTACACGGTTGAGGAAATTCTTATTAAATACTTGAGACGCTGAACTTCCTAAAAGTCAACTACGAGTATTTAATACTGCCACCACTATTTTGCCGAAATTATTGCTCGATAAATATGATGAAGCTATATCAATATGGAAAAAAGAAATCTTGCCCGAGAACACCGCGCTGACAAATCATCATACATCACTGTTGATTCATTCTGCCAGACGCTGTCCATGTTTTTGAGGTTACTGCAAAATGATTGACCGCGCACTCACTCATGAATAAAAATTTCAGCCTTGTCTAGGTTGAAATCAAAATTTGATGCACCTTTGATTGGAAAAACGTTTAGGAAAGCAGTGAATTACTAGCTTCGGCATTATGAAGAAGTAGAGGCCGTTTTTTTTAGTTTCTCCGGTTTCTCAATTGGCTGCGCAGCCGTTTTTTGTATATTTATCCAATAAACTAGTATTGACATAATCAGACAGATATTTAGCTACTTCATTGTCCCGATAACTTGAAAACCTGAAATGTTAGTAGAGACTTTTTACGTTGGTGGGTACCGTTTTTTTAAACAACTGAGAATACTATGGGCTAGCAACATTTCTAGTATTGATATTAAGCAAGATGCGCTATGTTGCTGAAAATTTTATTTTGCTAGTTAGCAGCTTTCCATATTTGACTGCTTTTAGTTATCCAATAAACTAGCATTATTAACATTATCATAATTTTAGACTGTTTAATTCCTTATTTTCTAATCTCAATGGTCTGGTAGTCGTAGCTGGATAAATGTGAATTAAAAGTATTCTGAGATGTAATTAGTGGTCATGACCTTTCCGGAAAAAGTGAATAGCCCGTTTGGTAGTCCTATTACAATAACTTTCTCAGCAATCTTGAATCAAGCCTTTATTAGATAAATTAAAAAACTAGAGTTTTTTTCTTTTAATGGGGTAAGTCTAGGTAAGTCTAGATTTTCTGCAAAATCAAATTTATCACTCATCCCTTCCCAGAATTTTAAATAGTATAATTATCATTTCAGGTAGCGACACATATTGATGCTGTTAGGAATCAGTTTTTCCTAACATGGAGAAGTGACGAAGAGTTTGTTCGACGCTTTTTGATGTTCGGTAATTCTGACGGTATTTATTTCGCAAGGCAAAAAGACTTCACATGCACTTTAGTCCCCGGTTTGTGCCGTATTATTCAATCAGGTAGGTGGTCATTCTATGTTTTTTTTTTTGAATAGTTCATAAGAGATGCTTAGGTTACCAATAATAACTACCAAAATCCAACGTAGTGATAGTCACTAAGGAATATCTTATCAAACAATATTCTAGCTCGTCCTTGTATTTATCACATTTACTACTTCATCGTTTGGATTTACTTGGCAAGTGACTTCCCGAACTTCAGGATCCCTCTCCACTGTGTTATGTCTTGTTGTAGGTAAAGGGCTGATAATTTTACGACAAATTCTGGAAATTTCGGGATCAAATCATACTTCGAAAAAAGAACCGCTACTGATGGCTCTGGCACTTTGCGCACGTTATAAAGTTTATTACACTTGTTTATACATGCAGTTTTATAAAGTTGTAAAGTTTGTCATACTTGCAAGTTAAATTTTTTTCCAAAATTTTATGCTTAGTTTACACGAAGGATCAAAACTGGTAAAATATTGGAAACGTTTTACGAATTAGGTTTGTGATACTCAAAGTAAGAAGAAGCTACCGTGGGAAACTACGGAGGAAGGAGAAAAATTATTACCGGATGCTGTCTGCCGGGACATTAGACCGGTTATGGAAAAGGCTTATCAAGGATGCCTCCAGAAGGTAGCCCTTTTTGCTGTGCACAAGGTTGGTTCTCCTTTAATAAATCGAATAGATTTTCGAATAAAATCTGGATTAAACCGAATAGGTTTTTAAATGAAATTTGGATTAACTGGACATTTCAATATTGTTTTAGTACTTTCCATATATATTGAGTGTTCAGTGTCACTAAGCATATCATTACCACAGAGATTTTGACTGGCATTTCTAGAAAAGATTACGGAAGAAGATATCCAGTAAATTAAAGTGAAAAAACTACAATTTTCGTAATATTTTCTAAATTATTTGCTTGCTATATGCTCATTCAAGAAATACTGCTTATTATGAGAAAACGAAAGATAATATTTGCTACCTTGGATTTGGATTAATTGGATTAATTAATTATAAGAGCTTCCCTTTGTCCAGTGATGGCTTTTCATTGCGAGCGTTTACCAGCAACTACGGGTAGAAAAACTTCCATCACTCTTTAATATATACAACGGCTTGGTAAACAATTATTATCTGTAGCGGGTGCAAAATCTAAAAAGCGGATATAGAAACCTGAATATATGTCATATATAATCATATAAATGTATGTCATATATAATCGGTAATCATACCTGAATGTATGATTACCGTCTTATGAAGAATGACATACACTCCTCATAAGACGGTAATCAGTAGGTAACTATCCACAAAATGAACTTTCGGCATAAGTTTTTTCATAAGGCATAAGAATGTTATGGTTGGAGATGAGTTGAGATAAGGTGGGGAATATGTAGCCAATTTCAAGATGTGCTGGAAATATGCGGCTTGCTAAAGATGTTTGCAGGTGTGTATCACACCCACTCATTTATTCACGTTTATCAAGTATTGCAAAGTGGTATCAAAGGAAAGTGGACTTAAGAAAGATTCTAATGGTTGGGGGCGTGCGTTGCGTGCAACTGTTATTAAATGGTTTTGTTTTATTTCTTTCATTTTCTGTATTACGAACAAGTTTAAATGGATGATATTTCACCGTCCTGAATTTTTTAAGTCTTAACATTCTGTCATCTTCTCATTTCTGCCCACTCTTGCCGTTATAAACAATCTTGCTGTGTATTAAAGCATTTGTGGAGATTTTTATTTGATCAGCTTTGCTCTTCTTGACGACATTTTTTAAGGTATTACAATCATACTCCAAATCGTCTTGCAGTCATCGTCACCAAGTATCGTCATCGTATATGCTACTCGCATCGTGATCTGTTTTGCCTGAGCCATATCCATCCAAAACAAAGTTTTCCGCCTGAATATAACTACTGGCATCATCAAAACGACTATGAAAACATTTTCAAACATGTTACCAGAGGTCGCAAAGGTATTCATTGTCCTTTGAACCACTTGACAGTATTTTTGCACGAAATATATTATTTTGAATATTGTCCCTTTCTCCACTATCGTAATTTTCAGATTGTTTGAGGTGAGGATGCATAAAAGATTCAGGACCGACTGGAACGGATATGCGAAAAAAGTTACCAGTAGGGTAGGGAGTAGCATAGTTCTGTCCTCGGGATTCCTCAGCAGTGTTGTTGAGGCGTTTAAAATAGCAATTTGTTTTTATCGAATATAGATGGTTTCCAGCTGAACAGTATTAAGACTGATGCCTATATTCTGATCTTCTCCACAAAAGCCTGTAAAAGCCTATAAAAAGTATTGTTTGCATTAGTCTTGGGAGTGTATAAACTTTGTTTCACATTAACTTTTTTTTTCTGTGTTATTGAAGTGCTGAAAGTAAATCTTAACATAAATGTCTTAGAGAGTGAAAAGGAAAAAAAGATAGGAAACGACGACAAGAATTATCACCGAAAGGACAATCCAAGCGAGGCCGATTAGATCCAGAAGAGGCGGAACAAGTGCGAAAAAATTTAGAGGAGTTGAATTTAAAACGAGCTGGAGAGATAGAGGCTCCAGAAGGGGTTGAAGGAACAGCTAATCCAGTCATAGGTGGAACTGAGTATATTGATGCTTTTGATAGACTTCAAGATTTGACATCTGCAAATGTAGACGAGGCAGTTATGCTCATTCTTCAGTATGGCAAGTATTTATTCTATTGAACTGGTCCTTTGGAGTTTATCGAGTTGAATTGTCCGCTTCTTTACGGGATACATGTCTATTGAGAAAAAAAAATTAGCTGCATCTGCCATTTTGATAGTCATTTTTTTAATTGCAATAAATGCCGAAAAATACATAGGGCATTAAACCTTAATAACACTATAATTTCCCTGAGGCGAACATTTATTTCATTCAAAAATTGGAACTCGAATAACAATACCGAATATCCCCTGCTATCACTACTTCTAAAGCCACTAAATAACAAAGAGAGAACTGGAAATTACCAGTAAATCTGTGTTAAGCCCATGTGAACTGTCATTGCCTTAAGGTTTTGAAAAAGAACAAGTTCCACAGAAATTTCTCAGTTCCAAAGAAGTTTGGGGTGCTTTGCTGAGAAGAATGTCACTGCGTACGATGTTGAAAAACATGGACAAAATGAGTGGCATTGACCTTTTTGACGAAGATGCTACCAGTGTGTGAGGACTTCTGTCATTCAATTTCTTATCAATTTCCAATTATTCAATCTGTGTTTGAAATTTTCAAGATTTCAACTTGTCATTTCTTCTGAAGCTTCAATTTATTAAATACAATGTATTTTCAAAGCATACATTGTGAGCAAAATTAAATGACCATTTGAGCAAGATAATGCTTGATAAAGTCTGCAAATATTGCTTTGAATTTTTAATGACTACTCTCACTTTTAAAGAAACATTTACAATTTCAGTTTCAATTATCTCAGTGACGTGTTGAAGAAAATATCATCCTTTTTTTACGACGATCACGAAAATTATACGAACTTTACAAAGTAACTGTGCGGGAAATGTTTAAGTTGATCAAATAGTTTTGCATTACATTTTTTGATTTAAGGTGTGTGAATTCAAGAGCGAATGATGAGATTTGAATATATTCAATGGTTAAATAAGATTTTAAAATGAAATCTGTCCACGACAATAAAAGTCGTTTTAGTGATGATCCAATATGTTTGATTGTCAGAAGATTGGCTAATATTGAGAAGTTGAGACAAGAACGATTTCATCCACTTGCAATACTGTTAGCCAAAACAAGTTACGAACATGGACATGAAATGAAAGGGAATCGGATATGGAAGCCAGTTAAATTGATCCAAAGAGCCTTCGACAACGCATTTTATAATTGCATGAATGTTATTGAGGCGACTGGCAGACGATATCTTATAGCAGTAGATATTTCGGGTTCGTTGCTTCCTTTTTCAAAGCTTTTTTTAAAAGGTCAAGCCCATATAAACTAAGTTCCCCTGGTTTCTATTTAACAATTATAACTGCAGATAGCATGGACAGCTTTGTGCAGGGTACGACATTAGCTTGTAGTCAAGCAGCAGCCACGCTGTCAATGGCGCTCATTCAAAATGAAGTTAATGTAAGTCATTTGGAATTCTATGATGTAGACCGATTTTTTTCTTGTTTTTGTGAGTTTACTAATTTATCTTCGTAAGTCTCATCTTAATCAAAGTCTCAAAAATCAATTACAATTAGAATTATTCAGGTGATCACATTGGCTTTTTCCGATTTTTTGATGCCTCTGGAATGGAACAGATTCATGAGCTTAGGCGAATACTTAACCGCTGCCAAAAAGTTGAGATATGGTAAGACTGATTGTGCTCAACCGATGTGCTGGGCAATTGAACATGCAGTATGCGTGGATGTTTTTATTGTTTTAACGGATAACGATGTTTCAGTTAAATCCGTTAGTTTCTTTCCTTCATCTTCTCAAATTATACAAAATCAAATTAATAAAACAGAGAGAAATTCGTTCATACTGAGACAGTTAGCTGCAATCACAAATTTCCTTTTATTCAAATGTTATACAGTGGAAATGTTTTGGTTTTGAACAAAGTATATTAAAGTAAATGCTGCTGTCAGTATTTGTTGTAGTTTTTAGAGTTGGTGTTAGTTAAAATTTTTTGAGGCACAAGTGAAAGCTTTCATTCATTTCACTTGTTTTGGTGCAAAAACACTCGTATATCAGAGTTAAAGGTATCAACAGCTCGATAGAGCCCTTACGAATAATCACTTAAATCCATTGATAATGTAAACTTTGTTTAAGATGAAACCAACGGATGCTATTCAGTGGTATCGCCGGCAAATGGGTATATCGAATGCTAAACTGATTGTGGTAGGGATGACAGATAAGTCGGGAGCCCTGGCTAATCCTAATGACCCAAATATGTTGGTTATTTGTGGTATGAATCCATCAGTTCCTCAAATTATCCATGATTTTGTCCTTAACTTTTAAGCAGTTCATCAGTAATGCAATACAATTGTTGTTTGCATTATGTCTTATTATGAATAACTTAGTACCTTTTGCTTGTACAAAAATTTGTTTTACGCCTCGCAGTTTGTGTGAATTAAAAAAATTCACACTATACTTTTAATATATTTGTAGTATTTATGGTTTTAGAAAAAATAAATTCACTTATTTTTATCAGAAACAAATACCAACACCCAAATATTGGGTTTGAGACTATTACCAAATGTTTCTGAAAGTTACATCACAACGATAACATTGAGTTAAAGCAATCCTCCGAAATTTGGATATGGTGTTTTTGAACTGTGAGGTGTTGAGAATTTGAGATCGAAAGAAGGGAAAATTGCACAGATTTTGATTTTTTAAAACCTTCGACACATTTGAAAGCTTATTCAAATCAAACGAAAATGTTTTCCACTTCATCCTGAAAGTAAGTTGAGACGACACATTCACATCAATGTGATCAATGGTGCTTCATCGATTCGCGCAAGGAGTCAAGAAAACATTAACATAGTTTTTTTATCGTTCAGGAATTAAAGTGATTTAAACAAACATCCTTTGTATTTCTCGCTGCTTTGGCAGCATTATGTGCTCTGACGGCAAGCCATCTGCAAACACAACTGTTTGCTATAGATATTTTTATAAGCATATATGAATATCATAATTGAAAAAGAACTGATTGCATCGGCATTTATTTTGCTTTCTTACTGTTTGTTTGTATTAACCGTCTACTTAAGTGTAGAAAATTTGATCAGATTTATCATGAAATAGAAACAGTGGTTCATGCTAACAAGAATTGTAATATATTTTGAATGTTGGAATAACTGTGAATAAATTCTAATTGGATCAATGGAATTGAAAGTCGAAGTTACAGAAGACTTTTTCAATTCAATTTAATTGCTTCAGTAAATTCCAGGTGCTTTTATTTTCATTTATCCTTACACGACATTTGAGAGGATTCTCTCTTTCTCTTTTTGATTCTAATCTTAACAAGTTTTAAATCAACATCTAAGGCAACTGCCTAAAAACTGACATCTCCATGTCATACAAGCAGATGGACACTACCATGGACGAATCGTATCGTTTTCAAGCACGTTTAGTTGGTGGAAGTTTTATTGAACTGCCAGTAGAACAGTTACGACGTATTGCAAATGCTAGTGGAGTAGATTCCATTGAACAGGAAACGAAGCACTTTTCGTGTGAGTCATTTCACTCTGCTATCAGTAGTTGACAGTTTTGGAGAAAGGCACAAAAAATTGAATTTTACTAGTTTTCAGAAAGTTGCGTAATGCTTGTCTTATAGGAAACAGTTATAGACAGTACAACTTTACATGGTCCATTACGACTCTACAAAGGAAAGGGATATGGAAAGATATTTTGGTGTTCGGTAATGTGTTCTGCTGCAATGTTCTTATCACTTCAAATAAATATATTGGTAGCATATTTCATGTCGCATCCAACCGCAACATCTGTGACCTTTGTCCCTGCCGAAGTGCTTACTCTACCTGCAGTAACCGTATGCAACTATAATCCAATTACCAAAAATTATGTTCAGTGTAAGTCCAGTTGTTGGAATTTCCAATTGTTGGAATTGATATCTAGCAAGGGAGTATCCAGGTACAAGCAGCTTCATCCAAAGATAACTACAATCTTCTGAGATCTTCATGTACTTTGAAGTTTACAATAAGCTGTGAATATTAATTTCAACCAATTAGAAATGAAATGTGAACTGTGTTATGTGTAGATTTGAATGAATCTAGTAGTGGTGCGGGTTATTTCACCAGCGACTTATTGCGCTATCTGACGATGGCATACAGTGAAGTGGAAGATTTATATTTACATGCTAACAACGATACAATCGAAAGAGGCCGACAAGCATATGAATATTTTCAAAATATTTTTACGGAGTATCCATTTAATATCGAAAATTTCTTCGAACGAGCTGGGTATTAATATTTGACTTCGTTTTTTCAATATTTTGTATTTTGACTTGCTTTGGAGAATTTATTATCTGAAAGGGCAGATTTTTTCATTTGCATCATAAACGATGCAAATATGAAACATATGAATAGAAAGTACAGATCGCTTCATAAATTCAGACCGTATTCATTAAGAAATTATTCTTTGTTATAGATGTTATCCATTATTGGTTTTGTTGACAAAGGCCGTGTTTAACAAAAACGTTCATCCCTGACGTACCACTACAAGTTCTGTAAATTCCATTGTGAAGAAGGTAGAAGTTAAACATGAACACCTAAGATAGGATGAAAAAACTGATCGACTACTCGATGTAGCGAGTCGAAACGGAACTTCCCTGACTCTGTTTTACTGGTCGATGTAGTATCGCAAGCAGTGCATTTAATTAGCATTTACAAACACGATCATGAATAAGAAAGTGCCTCATTGAAGAAACCAAAGACACGAGCACTTGGATGTGTTCAAAAAAAAGAAAAAAAAACAGAATTTTTACGGAATGAATGACATAAATTAATGCACATTCGCTGAGTCACACATATCGCATTCAAAATCCATGATTCGTCTCATCAGTTTTCTGTTACACAGAATCCACTAATTAAATTCAGGTTTGCTTGTCATGAGATGCTTAAAGTTTGTTCTGTGGGTGGTACTAAGTTAGATTGTTGTGCAATGTCACGAAAAGTGCTCACTGATCTCGGTTCATGCTTTGTATTTTCGCTCGATGACATGAAATTAAATCAGACCCAACCAGGCATTTTCAATGGGTATGTCCGCTTTTTGTAGAATGCAATTTTCAATTCATTTTACATAAAATTCATATTCAAAAGGAATTAAAAACGAAAGCGGTAAACCTAAATCTAAATTTTGGTAACGGAAGTTAGAATAGATTAATCGATACAATTACCAGTATAACTTGATGACTAACAGGTCGTCCTTTGTTTCTTCGAAATTGTAAAATAGAATGTTATTCAGAATGACTAGTGAAACAATAAGGCAGAAAACCACGCCTGTTATTTTGTATTTTAAAAGCTTATTGAGCAAATTCGTGATTATTCATAGATTTAATTGCGACATAATGTTTAGATTGCAACTGATATTAGATGCTGGAATAAATGATGCTATCGCTGTTAATTATGCTGAAGAAGGTTGCTTTGAATTTTAACTCAGCATGTTTATGTTAGAATACGGGTCCAAGAAGTGAGCTGAAGTTATATTTTGTCACATCACAAGTTTATTGTGTAAATAAGAAATTTTTATTTTAGGAAATACTCTACCAATTTTTTCTAATAATCTAGAAGATGGTTTTCGATTATATGTTCGAAGTGAAAATGAGTTAGCATATTCTTATACGGAAGGCCTTTCGGTCTCACCCGCCTATCGCGCATATATTGCTTTGAATTTAGAAACTGTATGCTTTTAGAATCGGATTTCAATGTTAATTCTTGGTATTAGTTAAAATAAGTGTTATTGTAATACTTCGTATATACCGGTCTAAAGATATCCTTCAAGAATCTTTACTCTATGCAAAAGTTTTGAGCAAAATTCAACAAAAGTTATTTTAGTTTCACTTCCTTACTCCCGATAACTGGGGAAATTGTACGCATACCTGGCCATTAAAATCACCTCAGCGAGCATTTCGTTTGCCGTACACGGCTAAAAACTGTGCATCACTTTGTCAACAAGTACTATTTTTTTTTATTTTTTACCAATCTAAATTTATTTCTCTCATAAGATCTATCATATGCATAACTTTGTAATGATAATGTTCCATTTCCTTAATTTATACAACTACTCATTTAGATATATTATGAACAAAGAATTAACTGCACTCCACTATTATACAGCGTTGGTGATGGTTAGACATTGAAAATTCCAGTTTTCATTCATCTGCTAATTTTGAATTTCCATTCGGTTTTGAATATTTCCTCAATTTATATTCAATGTTTTTAGCTCATCTGAATACTTGTACACCAAGCGAACTACACGCATTCATGCTTCAAGGTAATTCTTTCAATCTTCAGAGTTCCAGCTATTTTAAACTTAAACTTGCACTTCCATACGGCTACTTTTTTTTTTTTGGATAAAGTAAGAATTTTCTGAACTTCATCATACCCGAAAATTTTCATTTCTCCTTAATCCGGATACCAGACCTTGACAAATTCAGTTGCTGATCGGACAAACAATATCAATGGCCCTGAATGCGCAGATAATATCTGTCCAACGTCCTGCGTAACTCATGAATATAAGGCATCAATAACTTATGGATATGGATTCTCTGAAAGTGCCATGGATTGGCTGACAAATATTGACAGCAGATGGACTCAGAAGCATATCAAGTATGGTTTATAATTATATCTTTTCCCTAATATTTCTTGAGCTATGTATAATTCATAATTCAATTCATTGATTTTTTGCGATTCAGAAGAAAAAATAATTTGTCCTGAAACTTTTACAGGAAAAATTTTGCTGTGGTGAATATCTTTTATCGTGAAATGTCCTACTTATTGAATGAACAGATGCAATCAATGTCACTAGTGGACGTAATGAGTAACAATTTTGATATCAAATGACTCTAATAGAATTACATCAGCACTGAGGAAAAATCCTAAATGAAAAATACGCAAACTAGTAGAAAGCCATTTGTTGCGAGCATTCGTTGGAATATAATTTTTAGGTAATATTGGCGGAAATATGGGATTGTTCTTCGGAGCAAGTGTAATAACAGTCATTGAATTAGTCATATTTCTATCCAAGCTAGCTTGGATTGCATTTTCTAGTCGACGTCGTGAATACATGTTCCATAAACGTCAGAAAGAACGTGATCGTGAGAAACGCCTTACAACGGTGATCAATATCGCTGCTGTAAGGCTTTCAGTTCCAGATAAACCAATATCTCCCATTTCATATTCTTCGTGACTTCAAATTTAAACACCTAAATCTTTTTACTTTTTCTTTTCCGTCCTCCAAAAATAAAAACTGAAATCATGTATGAGTTGCAGCATTCGAGGCGAAGCTGTGATGGAACAGCACGAATTGAGCAGAAGAAAATGGTCACTCATCTGAAGAACACAATTTAGAAATTGATTGAGGATATGAAAAAAGCTAAAAAGTGGTAGTGTTTATCTCGGCTGCTGACTGAACTGGTAATGGGAGAGAATGTATCAACAAGTCAAATGATTATCATACGCCTTGTTTGCTGGCTGCCTCATTTTGTCTGTATTGACTTTTTTTGGTTTAAAACTTGACATAAAAGTTTTTCGAACTTTTTTTTCCGAGAAAGAGACATCTGTATGAAAATAATTGAATACTGCTGAAGTATGTATTATTTTATAATGAACAAACGGCATCACAAATTTATTTTGAAATGGAATTTAAAAATAACATTCTGTCCGTCAGCATAAGCCTCGTAAAACAGGCTCACGTATTATCCTATGTGACCTGTAAGATGATGGATTTGGAAAAAGTACTTAACTACAGTAATTGTTATACAAGTCCTGAAATCTTCCACAAGTTTACCAAGAAAAAGATGAACATGGAAAATGGCTGAAAGAATTGATGTGAATTCCTGTATAGTTGAGTCCAAAGATTGCGGGAAATCTCCTTACTTTCCTAACCTGATGTTATTGGAGATCTTAAATAAAAGGCCATAATGAATATCAACCAATTCCAATATTTACAGAGTCTCTGTTTGCTTATTAATCAGGAAAGAATAACAAGACTAGGTGCCTATAGGTGGTACGTATAATGAACATGCTAGAAGTAAAATAGTTTTTTGTAATTCATATTCAATATATTAGATAGGGTAGAAGGAGGGAAGGAATGAATGGTTGGATTCTTTATCAATATGTAACCTTGCTGGTAAATATTCCTCATGATCACCAAACTCTTCCGATAATGGTGACAGTACGGAATACACTAGTGTTATCCCACTTCTTTTAACTGTTATGTTATGATAGTATCAACACTTACACATATACCGCTTGATGGAATCATAGCATTTGTTCTCCTCCTCTTCTTTCCCCTCACTTCCACCTCCTTCTCCTTCTCCTCCTTCTCCTCTTCCCTATATCACCCTTCCAGCTCACAAACCCTACATATAAAACTATAAACTTTATCGTCAGTGAGGCAAAGCGGCGCAACGAATGAATCCTTATTACTGAGTTACTTTGAAGCGTGACATCCTTCCTGTGATATTGTTAATAAGCTTACTGAACTTATCTATAAGCTATCTTAATAGCTTTTTTTCGGATAAACTGAAAAATCAATCATATTACGCTGACTGGCAGCCATTAAGCTTATTATAAAACAAGATATGTAGGCATCCGTTCTAAAGCAGCTTATTTTGTGGTCTTTATTCCAAACAAGCCAGAATTTTAATCATAATTAACATATTGATAAGTTTCATAGTATCTAATAAGTCATTTATTCGGCAATGAATTCCATTCCTTCGAACTGAAAGAAGCAAACATTGTGTGATACATTTCATAATTTCTTCCATCTTACTGAGCTTCTTTTCTTTCAGACTGATTATTGTAGGATCGGTCTTGTTTGAACTCAAATCATTTGTCAATCGTTCCCACAATATTTCTGTTTTAACAAAACGTCAAAATGCACCAGATGAAATAACATTGGTTACCTGATTTGCCATCTCTTTGTATTGTCTTCTACTTTCTTGCTATTCTTAAGGTTCTTAAGGTAAACTCAGTTTCTTATGGTTTGTCATTTTGTTTATTGATCTCTCATTGATCTCTTATGTATCCTGACAATATTTAGTTCTCATTGATTGCATGCTTTGTTCCTCATTTCTGCAACAAAAAATATTTGAAATTGGTTCAGATTTTACGCCTACTTTGTGAATACCACGAACGCTTTTCTCGAAGTCAAGCAATTATGGCCTTGTCACAAACCGAGCGGTTAATTAATTGGCTTAAGGAAGTTGCTGTTCGAAGGAGTTTAGTGGAGCATGCGACTAAGAGAGAATTCTTACAGATGATGGGTAATTCCTCTTTTCCCTTTTTTGGGCAAAAACGAATAAGAAATCAAATATGCTGTTGGAACGAAAAATAACTGATTCAAAATGCGTCACAGAAATACACCGACTTCTCACTATTACTTTGCATGCATTTGTCATGTGAGTTTATTTCGTAACCTTCGAACTATTTGGATATTTTCAGGAACGACAAAGCTGCATGGCTGTTATAGACTTTATGCCGGAAAAACTTATGGACGTCTATTCTGGCTACTTGTAGCTATCTCAACGGGTGTAATTTTTGTCATCGTTCTAGCAGAATTAACAAAGCAATATAGGGCGGAGAATATCACGACGCAGGTAAATGTTTTTCATAGCTTGTAAAGTAAAACTCTTTTTTTGGAAGCAGAAGCTAAAATAATGGAATTCTGTGCCGGAAATACAATAAAATAGGCTTAAATACAGTTCACGAAATACCATGCTACGTACCATATATAAGCAGAAAGCGATAGAATGAGAGTTTATATAAACTCTTTAATTTGTGATTACTTAATTCCACTTTATTGGTGATTTTTTTACAGCCATATGCAGCATGTTTAATGCGCAAGCATTTTATAAATCCCAGGCACATATTAATTTCACTTTAACTTCAGCTGGTAAACCAGATTTTCCTGAAATTACTGTATAATTTTAACAGTTTGCAAAACTTAGGTGAAAATAGTATATGATTATGCCGATGGCCCATCATTAACGATATGCAGTCATAATCCTGTACGACGTAATTACATTGAAGGTAAGACGATATTTTCAGCACTTTTTTATTTGTTATTCATCTTGCGCAATTTATTTTTTTTGCTGTCACAAGCGACAAATTAATCCACTACATTTCCTTTTTCTTTTTTTCTTGAAAAAACGTAGACTTTTTATCTTAGTTAATACTTACGTTTTGTATTCATTTTTCGCTTGCATTTATATTCAAATACTTTTCAGAGCTGAAGAGAACCACAACTTTTTCCGATGAACTGTTAATGTATCTGTTGCACATCTTTTTGCGACCAGAAGGCCTTGTTAAAATGGATGTTATGGATATGGATAATCTTTGTGACGGAGAAAGATTACTGCAAGATTATATGTTTACATATAAAAATTTTACAGTGGAATCTTTCGTTAAGGAAGCTAGGTTTTGTTTCAAAAATCTAGTTATACAAAGTGAAAATTCTTCGTCTCGATCATTTAACTTCTTCACTTATTTAGTGAAAGATTGACTTCAAGGATTCTGTTTTCGGATACTATGATCAGCTTTTCCGCTATTACTTCATCAGACATGGTTAATTCTGTTACACCTGTGAAACGCACCTTTTGAAAATCACTATTATAGTTTCAAATGTGAGGAAGCCTTTGTACAGTGTGCTTTCGAAGGTATCATATTCAACTGCTGTAATGAAAGGTACTCAACCGCTGTGTTTACCGACCTCGGATATTGTTTCCAGTTTGATTGGAACAAACTGAGCAAGGATTTCAGCCTTTCCTATCACTTTGGATCCGTTCATGGGTAAACCATAATTTGCATCGCATGCTGTTCATTTTTCAGGCCTTTCTTTTTTGGGGTTAATCGTTGAGGTATTTCGGAAATACATAAAGAACTAGCAGCTTCAATTAATTCAGACGGGGCTAGGAAGCACATAAAAGTATTGCCCACAAAAGTGCACTTTACGGTCACTTTATGATTCTGAGTTGGATTCGTGTCCTCGAATTCTCGGTTTGCTGTGTTATTTTCATGTTGTTGATTACATAATGTGAAAAGATTTCTAGGAGTACTCTTTTTAAATTCCGTAACAAAATGAATGGTTTTTTACAAAGCAATTAATTTTAATATGAGATTCTTCATTGTTTGTGAATTGATATTGGTAATTTCTTCTTCAGATTTCAAGTGATGCTTGATTACCAGTCTTACAATGAAGTTTACTTGGTGAATTATACAGGTATCATATTTATTGAGTTTGAGTGTAAATCTAGTACAGATACTTTTGTTTTATTTCCGTTCACCATAGCTATTTTATTATGTAATCTATGCAGTCTTTTGAACGCACTTGAATTTCATATTGAAGAATTTTAAGTTAAATATAGTATTTCCGTTGCTCCAGCAGCAAAGCGCTACTTCAGGTAGTCGAATAAGACAACCGTTTATGGACAACTTCGAACCTGGTTTTCGGCTGTATGTCCATGATAAGGATACTATTTCATATGTCAGTTCTGAAATCCTTGTCGTCTCACCAAACAATAAGTTGTCTGCAGGACTAAAGCCTATTAAGGTCAATTCTTCGTTGTTACTTAAATTGTTATTACTTAAATATACAATTCGCTTAATGAAGTATAATTCATTATGTTTCAATAGCAGCTTTGGTTTCTTGCAGTACCAGTTTTTTGGAGCGGTCTAAAGGAGGCACCTGTCGTAGTGCTTGGCCGTCAGTTTTACGGCGCAATTCTACATATTCTTCTTCAGCTTGTAAAATGGCTTGCATAGCAAGATATTTCGTTGTGAACTGTGGTTGTATTCCTTTGCAATATAATATTTTGAAAGGTGAAGCCTTTAAAGCGGCAAGATTTACCTTAAGCTATAGAATCACTAACGAAAAGTGAGTTAAACAAATAACGTAAATTTGCACGTGAAATTGTAAAAAAAAAAGTTACAACACAATAAAAATCCAGATTAGATGCGTGTCAGCAGTATGTGATTAAGTGGAGTTTTTTTTAGTACCAAGTACTGTTCTGCTGAATCCTTGAAGTAATTATATTGCAGAAGGTAGGCTTTGCTCCCCAAAAGAGGTCTTCGATTGTATTAGCAACTACAGAGAAATTGCGAGTAAGTATATTAAGAATTACGTTAAGAGATTCTTGATCTTTATAGATAAATTTTTTCACTTTAAACAATGCAAAAACTCTTTCTCTTCTTTCCTCTCTCTTTTTCTTCTTTTTTGGTCAGTGTCTCATTTTTATATGACCTCCCATGATTTTGAGCAAATATCCCCAAATCTTATTTCTCAGGATTGCTGCTCTTTAGATATTGTGCATAATGTTACCTACTCTCCCTTATGTCAAGATTGTGCACCGGAATGTGAACTTTTTATTTATTTTACACAGAATTCTATTATCCACAACATTCTTACCTCACTGAATAAATATATGGAAAACCTGCAACAACACTATAAGCTCAGCTATGTCAGGTGATTTGCAAATTAATTTTTTTGGATTTATTCCGATCATCTTTTTCCATAATTTTTTGAGAGTTCCGGGTTTATCTCTTAAAAAGGCTTACCACTTTGCTCTTGGTCATACTCAAAACGCAAAGTATTGAAGGTCAATTAATGTCATACCGTTATTTGTACAAATGGCTGGATGTTGCTGTATGTAAAGCAGCATTTGCAGAATAAATTGATCATATATGGTTTGGTTAAGGAACAATCTGGCAACTGCACATGTGTTTTTTGCTTCAAAAAAGTATAAGATGTACTCGCAGTCAACACTTTCCGATTTGTCAAGCTATTTAAGTAAGCTTATTTTTTGTTTCGTATTATGTATATATAGTGAATGACTTGTTTTATTTCACATCCATTTTGGTTAAGCTAAAATTACTGAATTCGATGTGTAAAGTGTTCAGTTGATGTGTTGCTGTAATACAGAGGACATCAACACTCTTGGGACATCAACATGACTAAGATAATTATCTCTATTAAGATGTTAAGTTCCAGGTAAAATCGGTAGCGATATGGGTCTGTTCTATGGTGCCAGTGTCATTTCGTTATTTGAACTGATTTTATTATTGTTCAAAACAATTTGGGCACTTGCTTCTTCATCACGTGCTGTTTATCTCGAAGAGAAAGCCAAGCGAGAGGTGTCTAAGCTAATTTTAACAATTCATTTAACTCTGCAACTATTAAATTTGTTTTTAGTCATCAATTATAAAAGAATTTCCATATTTCAGATGGAGAGAAAACTGCGCATTGAAGAAATCATAAATGAATATTCCATACCAGACCAAATGGTTGGATATGTCTCACAAACAACTGAAGTCTATAACTTATTAGTGTTTAAAAATTCTTTTTTAATAAACTTAAACACCGCAAGAAGCCAAAGTTCAGGAAGGCATTTCAGGAAATTCAAATAGATTCATTTAGATTCATTAAGTCGCTAGTAATTGCGAAATTTTGATTTCCATGTTACCGCTTTCACCTTTATTGTAAAATACCTGTTTTGTGAATTTTTTCTCTGAAGTTCTGTTCTAAAAGATTAGATTTAGTCTTCTTACAAAGGTCACCTAATGTATGAAATTACCTTATGCACAACACTATGTGTTTCATATTTCACATGGAAAAGGGAATTTTAGATAGGAGATGTGCAGTTATGGTTGAGAAGAAAATTGCATTCGTTGTTTACTTTCGTCCCAGTTCCTTTTATATTTTAAATCCTCTTTATTGTACTTTTGGTTTCATTCTGTTTGTGTCTCAATATTAGTTCACTAATCATTGAAAGAAATTAAGTTTTGTACAAAATATTATTGAAAAGTAATCTTTTAACTTGCTAACGACTTGAGATTTGTTCATGATTAAAACACTGTCATGTTTTTCAGCGCCCACAACGAGAATTGGATCAAATGCTGTCGTTAACATTGACACCGGAACAAGCTAATGCAATTTTGGAAGCGGAAACATTTGTTGATTCAATATATGTTCTGCTAAGAAGGGATAAGGTAAGGAACTGATATAGTTTCACGAACTATTTTTATTGTGCCAATTCAGAAGTGAATCCGAAAAAAAAAAACTGTTTAATTAATTCTGATGAAATTTGTTTTTTTCACTGCAAATTAACTTTGCAATGTGTAATTAGTAAAAGTTCCTTCTTACTGCAATGAAGTAAATTGGCATTAGTAGGTATGTGTTCAAATTTCTATTTGCAGTTAACATCGACAGTTGAAGATGTCGATAGCAAACGATGCGTTTCTGTGGTTTGACCATTCTTTATATTGATAATCAATATATTAACTGCAGCTTGGATCATTATATATGAGCAATAATGTAATTAGATTGATAATCCTGCGTTCAGTATCAAATTTGTAGATAAAATAATTGATCTAAACTATTTACTATTTTTTGTGTTATGAAGCACTTCTTGATCGCTGACTTGAAATTCTCTCACTATTTTATGGCGATTATCATTTGCTGAACAACCTAATTCGAAAGTATCTTAATATGACTCGAACTGTTGTTTAATAGATAGAACCACTAGATATTTAAGCGCTATTTCTCGATGATTTCAACTACTATCTTGCTATTGTGAACAATTTTGGGATTTGGTCGTGACCTTATATTAAGTAAAGTCCACTCATACAATCCGTTAAGAAAACTCTTTGGAATTGCTTTCATTAATAAATAAGTCAAGCCGTTGGATTTATAGTTCTGTTTGTTTCAATGGTGAAGTTTCAGTTTCCTAATCACTGATTCTCATATCATGTGCATTAGTGAGCGTTTAATAGGGAAGTTGAAAGAAAAGGAAAGAGGGCGGTGAATGAAAGAAGGGAATTCACTGATAGGAATTTTTTTAATTTGTATTTGTAGAAATATTATGCTTTTATTGTCAGGCTGATTGATTTTTTTTAGATCCAATTTGTAAAACAGAAAGGTAATACAAATTGGAAAACAGATTTATCAACGGCTGTTGATAGAGAAACGGAACGAATGAAAAGGTTATTTTATTATCATGTCTTAGGATAGTGC